GGGATCCGAACCCTCGGACGGGAGCGCTGCCGCGCTTCCCAAGCGGCGCACTATCCAGTGCGCCACCGGGCCGGCCCCCAAACTGCTTTGAATATCAGACGGTGGTAAGATTTTGAAAAGTGAGACCCTCTCCATAGGGGCATTTGGGGGCTCTTGGTGACATTTGTCTGATGTAGTCTTTCATTGGAAGCAAGTTTTATTCATCAAGGTAGATGTAACACCAATTTTTATATTGGAAGAGCAGAATAAACAGGCACTTCCTCCCGTGACTCATCGACCTGTATCCTTAGTCGCTTCTGTTATTTCCAGTGATCAGGTCCCTTGTTTCTTGGGTGGCCTAGTTGGAGGAGGGTTTCTCCACTCAAGGCTGGTCACTTAGGAGATTGCATAGCCTGGTTGAAGTGTTTTGTCCTTTAACTGGAAGCCTTTCCTGCCCTGCTCGAAGCAGGCAGGTGATGGCATGTTGGGCAGCTAGGTTGAGGTCAGCGTCACCCAGCAGGAGGCATCTCACCTCCTGCACTTGGCCAGGCCATGTAGGGCAGGCTGGAGTTTTGCATTTGCAGCAGTGGTTGGTTTCTCTAAGAAGATGGTGAAACCCCCACTCTTTGTAAAGAAGTCCTTTAGGTTAATTATTGACTGTATTCAGCTTGAGGTTCGTGTTAGGAATTTGCATTGAGCCTACTGTGCTCTAAGAGGAGCTGGTTCTATTGCAGACATACAAGGTTGCATCTAAACCTTGAAATAGTTGTTCTACCCGCCCCGCCAAATTTGTTGCTGCTCTCTTAATTGGCTGCTCCTGCCCTGCCCCCGTATTTGCAAGTGCTGGAGAGTAAGGAATAGGATTTTCCTGGGGTCTCTGTGTGCAGCCCCAGCTCTATACCCCTCTGGCTAAGTCTTGCCTCACCTGTTTGAGGGGCAGCACCTCTCCCTCCTGGCACATGGGTCTGCCTTTTTCCAGGATGACTGGAGTCATTTGTGGCCCTCTCCCCATGTTGCACAGGGACCTACCACAGGTATAGGTGTGGGCAAGGCTGATTTTTATTGGCCAGGGCTGCTTGCTGTCCAGGCTGGCTGGGGTCTCCTGGTTTCCTGCCCCAGGATTTATCCTCTCCTTGGCCGTGTCTGGGCTCCTCCACGTAGCAGCTGCTCTAGGTGGTGTGAGCATGTATTTCTGTGCAGGAAAGGTCAGAGCCTTTGCATCCCCTAGGCACCTGTCGAGGCTCCCCGGGGGCAGGGAAGTGCTTGCTGAGGGGACCTACCAATGGGACCTGCTGGTGGTTCACAAGTGACACTTCATTGATCTGAATATCTCCTCCTTATGGGGCTTAGTGCTTCAGGAGGGTCTTGTGGGTGGCTTTGGGGAGATATCTGACCCTCATCAGGGGGTCATGGGGCCTAAGGTGGTGTTTGGGGATGGGTGCTGTTGCCAGTTAGGAGAGAACAAAGTGACCCCAAAGTCTCCCTTCTTCCCCTCCCTGCCCCCAGCTAAGAGGAAGCTCAGAATAACCAAGTGCCTGTCCCGGTCGGTGGTGAATGCTGTGCTGGGCGCCAGCTAGCTGGGGCGAGCCTGAGCAAACCCCGGGTGTGTAGCTGCAGGGCTGACAATCGGACAAGCCCATTCCTTGTCGGTTTTAAAAATAGCAGTGTGGGAACCCCTCTGAGGCTCCCGGGATGCAGCTGGATTGGTGTGCAAAGGCCTGGCAGAGAGGCCTCAGCTAACAGTGGTGAAGCCATATTTCCAGCTGCCTTTTCCAGAAGGTGGTTCCCAGCTTTCTTTTCTGTGGAGCGGAGCTCTTTGTTACCCGAGCAACTCTAACCCCCTTGCCCTCATCCGAGTTTCTCCTTCTGTAGTTCACTGCTTCTCCACCTCCGAAGACCCTGTCTCAGGGGTCTGCTCTTTCCCCTTTCTGAGATACCTACTTCCAGAGGGGGAAACTGCGGCTTCCCTCTCCATCCAACGTGGTCTTCTGGTCCAAGCTGGGAGGAGAGCCCCATGGCTTTTCTATAAGATTTCTTTTAGAAATGATTGGGGTGACAATATTTCTCCCTCCTCCAGTGCTCTCCCTACTCCCCCCTCCTTGAGATGGGGAAAAATGTGCTTGGGCTAGCCCTAAATGAGAAGAAAACTGAATTAAGGTAAATGGTACTGAGAAAGTTAAAAATAGAACCCCAACTGGGTTCTATGAATGCCCAAGAGATTTTCCATCTAGAACCCAAAGCAGGTTCAGGGGTGAGGTGAGGGTGTTTTCTTCCTAATGGCTCAGAAACAGAATTAGCATCCCTTTCCCTCAAGGACGAAGGAGGGGATGGAGATATGGTGACCATGCTACTCAGCTGTGCCTGACCATAGCTACGCTTTAGGTTGTGTTTGAATTGACTAGTTGTCAGGGTGTTCTAGTGGCCCAGAAATGTCCACTTTGCCATTAACAGTAAGAAATGTGGTTTGGTGGGAAGAAATGTGGTGGGAATGCCACCAAGACTTGGCACCAGACAGTTGTGCTTCCCCAGTGCCCCCAGCAGCGAGCTCCTGGACGGGATTGAAAATCTCTTCAGGTCTTAAAATAATGGTAATAACAATAGTTCTCCAGTTCCTTTTGTGTGGCCAGCAACATAAGCCAGAAGCACTACTTAGAGGAAAAAATGTTTTGTTTTTTGTTTTTTTTTGTCTTTTGTCTTTTTTCCGTGTCCGGCAACGGATCGCAACCCTCAGTGTTGCCCCCGTACCGGACCGGGGACCGGCGACGGGATCGCAAGCCTCGGCGTTGCTCCCGCGCCTCGCTCAGCCAGTGAGCGGGAGCCGGTCTGTATGTGGGATCCGAACCCTCGGACGGGAGCGCCGCCGCGCTTCCCAAGCAGCGCACTATCCAGTGCGCCACCGGGCCGGCCCGGAAAAAATGTTTTAACAAAATAATTTCCATTGACAACAAAGCAATCGGCGGCTTCTTTCTGTGCTCTGAGCACTTTTAGATCTCGCTCATCGCTCATCGGAAGTGCCTTTTGCTGCGACTTTACAGAAGGCCCATTTCAAGCTTATTGAATTGCAGATGCTGCCTGCCGACACCCGACCCAGGAAGGGTTGGAGCTTCCGAAAGCCAGTGGCAGCCACTGGGGCACCCCAGGGTGTGGTTCCACGAGTGACTAAAGAAAGGCTGAAAGGTTGGGGCCCTCTGGCCCTGTGGTTACGGATAAATAAGTGGTATGAAGAGTTTCTGTGAATGTGCTTCCCTCTAAACAGTCAAGGCTGGCGTGCAGGGAGCCCCAGCCTCCCCCTCTCCTAATAGGTGGGCCCCTCGCTGGGCAGTCCCTGAACCCCTTCCTGTCTGCCCCAAGACGTAGATTGTGCTGTCTTGAGAAAGTGATTTTGTCCCTGGAAACAATGGCTTATTTTCCAGGATAGCTGATTTTCCTGGACAAAATGTCCCGAAAGGTGTGGCTGGTGAAGGGGGAAATCTTACCCGGTTTTCTTCAGATAGTTGTTTAAAGCCGACTTGGACACCCTTTGGAGATTCAAGCTGGGATCAGCTTTCTGGAGCAAACCAGCAGTGGCAGCTCTTTCTCTAATTTTTATTTTTTAATAATGTAAATGGAGACTTTGTTCTTCTTAATGGGCCTGGGGCAGGCGGGAACTTTCTGCTCTTGGGGTAGTGGGAGGAGGTGTGATCTGCTGCCAGCCGGCAACTGTTAGGGAGTCAGTAGTGAGGTCTGCAGTAGGAAGTCACCTGGGTTTTATGTATTAAGCCCTTTGGGCAAATGGAAGAAAACACTTGCAGAGTGCCTCAGAGCTTCCACTTCAGCCTTAATTTCATTGACTTTGTTCTCAAAGTCAGGTTTGGCTTACAGCAGTCACTCCTGGAATGTCTGCTTAACATGGAAAATGACCCTGGTTGATGACCAGCCTGTAAATATCAGGATTGTCAATTCCTCCCAACCTTCAGACGAGGGTGTGCCTCATGCTTTTTCACACTGGAGGGGTCTCTCTCTCCTGCAGGAGGACTTATGCCAGTGTCACCTGGGTATAGCACCCTGCGAAGGGAGACCCACATGGGTAGGGGAGGGGTGGCAAGCTGGCCACTTTTTTTTTTTTTAAGGAAATAAAAGTCATAGGAAACAGACAAATCACAAAACTGATTCTTAACAAGATATAAAACAGAAGCAGCACCAGATGCTAAGTCCCATCTGCAACAACTTGGGAGTTAGTGACCTCATCAGAGATGGTAGTTGTATCAGTCCTAGTTTAAATAACAAACGGGCCCTCGGCCACAGCCATAGCCATGGCCGTGGCCACGTATCTTCCAGGAGGAAGAGGAGGGAGAGGTCGTTGGCATCCAACCCTCTACTTTCCTTTTTTTCAGATGCTGTTGAGACGGGGAGCAGGGCTGGGAGTCCACTGGCCTTGTCTGGACTGTTGGTCACCAGGCTGGGATGTGTGTTGGAATCTGTCTCCTAGTCTGGCCTCCTGTCGGATCCCAGAGCCTGGCCTGGCCTGTGGCTGTGGGAAGGGGGGTTGGCTGTCCTGGGCCAGGACACCCAGGGCCCCCAAACCTGTCCCTGTGGAGCTTCCCAGGAGGGAAGGCACAGCCCAGGGACCCCCACAGGCCAGCATCGCACTCCTGTGGACATCTTGTTTTCCATTAACTGGTCAATTAACCAAAGTGCTAAGAAAGCAAGCCATGCCTCACTTATTTCTGTTTTGTAGTAATATAATGATTCATTCTTGGTATTTGTTTTACTTGTTCCTAAGGTCAGTGGGATTCTTTGCTTATGGAGTATATTCAAAGAAACTTACTTTACCCCCCCACCCCCCACGATCCCTTGACCTGCTCCTCCTGAGGTGCACCCCCTTCCATGCATGGGGGACTGTCCAGTGCCTCCTGGTGGAGACCCGGGGTCGCTGCTGCCACGTCTCTGTCCTCTTACATCAGTCAATCATCCGGTCCTGTTGATTCTTCTCCAGAATGTGTCGTGTGACTGCGGCTTGCCCCCCTCCCCTCGCCAAGCCTGTGGTCTGCTGGGAGCTGCTCTGCTCAGCCTCGCGCCCGCCCTGGGCTGCTATGCAGGTCATAGCTTCTCTTATTTTCTCCCAGGCCTTCTATGCTGCCCGTCCCCACTCTAACTCAGGGTCCCCCTTAACTCTCCCACAGCCCCCTGAACTTCCCCTTCAGAGTACCTGGACTCTCCACCGTGCTTCTTTTTTCGTGTGATTCTCCGTCTTCTCCCCTAGAAGGTAGATGTCATGAAGGCTGGGAGGGGTCTCTTTTGTCACCAACTCTTCACATGTTCACAAATACCTGTCAACAAATAAACAGTTTGAAACAAAGGGAGGGTAAGGTCTGAGAGTGCTTAACAGTTTGGCTGAAAACGCATTAACTTGGTCTACACGAGGGGCTCTCAGAGTTGGCACTGTTGGCATTTGGGGCCAGGTAATTCTTTGCCTGGGTGTGTCTCATGCATTGTAGTATGTTTAGTAGCATCCTTCAGTGACAACCAGAATGTCTCCAGACGTTGCCCCATGTCCCCTGGGGCAAAATCACCTCTAGTTGAGAACCACTGGTCTACACCTGGGGATCCGAGTTTTCTGAGACAAGAAGTCTCCCCTTGGTGTGTGTTCACCTGGGGCTCAGCTCCCAGCTGTGGGGCTTGCACTGGGGCGGGCAGAGGGGCTGAGACCTCTGAGCCCCTGGTGCTTATATGGGAATTTCCACGGTGGAAGTTCAGCACAGGGGAGGGAATTGTGCTGCAGGTTTTGGTGTTGGGTTCTTTGGACAGATAACTTGTTGCAGGACTGCGGCTTGCCCCCCTCCCCTCGCCAAGCCTGTGGTCTGCTGGGAGCTGCTCTGCTCAGCCTCGCGCCCGCCCTGGGCTGCTATGCAGGTCATAGCTTCTCTTATTTTCTCCCAGGCCTTCTATGCTGCCCGTCCCCACTCTAACTCAGGGTCCCCCTTAACTCTCCCACAGCCCCCTGAACTTCCCCTTCAGAGTACCTGGACTCTCCACCGTGCTTCTTTTTTCGTGTGATTCTCCGTCTTCTCCCCTAGAAGGTAGATGTCATGAAGGCTGGGAGGGGTCTCTTTTGTCACCAACTCTTCACATGTTCACAAATACCTGTCAACAAATAAACAGTTTGAAACAAAGGGAGGGTAAGGTCTGAGAGTGCTTAACAGTTTGGCTGAAAACGCATTAACTTGGTCTACACGAGGGGCTCTCAGAGTTGGCACTGTTGGCATTTGGGGCCAGGTAATTCTTTGCCTGGGTGTGTCTCATGCATTGTAGTATGTTTAGTAGCATCCTTCAGTGACAACCAGAATGTCTCCAGACGTTGCCCCATGTCCCCTGGGGCAAAATCACCTCTAGTTGAGAACCACTGGTCTACACCTGGGGATCCGAGTTTTCTGAGACAAGAAGTCTCCCCTTGGTGTGTGTTCACCTGGGGCTCAGCTCCCAGCTGTGGGGCTTGCACTGGGGCGGGCAGAGGGGCTGAGGCCTCTGAGCCCCTGGTGCTTATATGGGAATTTCCACGGTGTAAGTTCAGCACAGGGGAGGGAATTGTGCTGCAGGTTTTGGTAAACCGTAGAATCGCGGGTGCTCCCCCTTACCTGCTGGCCTTCCTGCATAGGGAAATGTTTTCATAACAGTAAGGGAAACAGAGAGTGGGCTGCAGTCTCAAAGGGGAGACCAGATCAATAAGAAATAGGTGTGTTTTATTGGCTCGGTTTAGGATTCTCTGGCAGGTCAGAAACTGGGAGCAGGCACTGCATGGTTTCCTAGCAGCTGCCGCAGGGCTGGCACTGGGGGGAGCAGGCTGCGCCCCGCTCTGGAAGGTCCAACAGAACAGTGGGAGCAGAGCTGCGACTCTGCATTCTGGAGAAATCACCTGGAGGCTGCCCCTGCCTGCTGGCTGCACAGCCTGTGTGTAGACACCAAAGCCACTCAGTTCCCAGCTGGAACAGTTTGGGTCTCCAGGTGTGATTCTGGACATTTCCTTCAGGAACTTATTATTAAAAAGCAGGTTTTCAGCCCCAACCTGGAACTCATGTCAAAGAATGAGGCCTGGAAACCTGTATTTAGCCAACTTCCTGGGTGCTGTCTATGGGATCTGTGTTTGAGAATTGCTGACCTAGCTCCTCCATGGCTAAAACATGACCTCATGGGAGTCGGCCTTTCCCCCTGAATTCACTCTGAGACTTTTGATCCATAATATGCACGCAGACCTTTGCCCTGGGATTCTTGTCTGTAAAACCACGGGCTGCACCTGGGAGTGACTTAGACCAGGGGCTGGCAGACTTTCTCCCTGAAGGGCCAGAGAATAGATTTTGTAGGCTTTGTAGGCCAGGGGGCCTTGAAGGGCAGAAGCAGCCATGGCCAGTTTATGAATGAGTGGGAGAGACCACCTTCCAGTAAAAGTTTAATTACAAAAACAGGTGGCAGGCTGTGGACAAGTTTGGTGGTTTCTCAAAAGTTTAAACGTAGAACTGCCACAAGATCCAGCAATTCCACTCCTAGGTATATATCCCAAAGAATTGAAAGCAGGGACTGGAACAGGTATTTGTACACTAATTTGTACAGATGTGCAGCATTATTCACAAGAACCAAAAGGTGGAAACAACCCAAGTGACACATCAACAGATGAGTGGGTGCACAAAATGTAATATATGTATTTGGTGGGGTCTTCCCCAACCGTAAAGAGCCAAAAGAGACAGAAGGTAGAAGAGGTTACCGGGGACAGGGAGGAGGAGTTACTGTTTAATGGGTGCAGAATTTTCATTGGGGAAATGAAAAAGTTTTGGTGTAGATAGTGGTGATGTTTATACAACTTTGTAAATGTATGTAATGCTGTTGAGTTGTCCACTTATGAATGGTTAAAATGATAAATACTATGTTGTGTACATTTTACCACAATAAAAAAATTGCTGGCTGGCTGGATTTGGCCCTCGGCAAACCCCTGCTTGAGATTAATAATGTTCCATTAAGGGGCAAGATTGGATTCAGGAATAATTGGGCCAAAGTATTGGGCCTAGACAGAGAAAGTGAGTTGGGTTCTTTGGACAGATAACTTGTTGCAGCTTTTAGAGGAACCTAAACTTCTCTTCCCACATCCCAAGAGAAGAGATCATGAGCACCCACTTCCAGGCTTCGAGACCCCAGGCATTGGCGGGGTGGTACTGGTGGGTACCCCCGTAACTATGAGACTTTCTCTCCCCATCACTCACAGTAACCTCAGCTAGCATTTCTAGCTGCCTCAGGACTGAAGGCTTTGAAAGGCCCAGCATTTAATGATGTGACATTAAAGTGAGCTCCATGTGGGTGTCTCTGAGTAGTTTTCTCTGCCGTTGGAGCTGGATGTCCCCTGGTCTAGGTGCTCTGTGTGTGTGGCTGGGTGACTGCTGCGTTTTCCTCATGCCTTTGAACTTTTTCAGGGAGCGCATAGAACTTTTGGAAGAAGCCAAGAAGATGGAAATGGCCAAGTTCCGCTACATCCTGCCAGTGTATGGCATCTGCAGGGAGCCCGTGGGGCTGGTCATGGAGTACATGGAGACGGGCTCCCTGGAGAAACTGCTGGCCTCAGAGCCACTGCCTTGGGACCTGCGCTTCCGCATCATCCATGAGACCGCAGTGGGCATGAACTTCCTTCACTGCATGAGCCCACCGCTGCTGCACCTGGACCTCAAGCCTGCCAACATCCTGCTGGATGCACACTACCACGTCAAGGTAGGGCCTGCACAGTGCCCACAGGGGCCTCCAGGTCAGGACGAGGTTGGGAAAGGAGGCGGTTCTTCTGGGGGCGGGGGGGCAAGGAAAACCCGGGAGCCAAGGCCTTTCTCAGCATGAGGAAACCCTGAGCTTGTTGTGGTTGGTGTAAACACCACAGGTTGTGTAGCTGGAGGAATCCTGGCACATGACTAAATTCTGGGCACTTTGGAAAAAAGAGCTTATGGATTTATGGATTCTGGTCTTTGTGAATGTCTTATGAAATCAGATTAGAGATCAGAGCATGTATGGACCATGTGAGAGCTCAGGTTCCATGGTAAAGGCATGATTTCCCCTTGGAGGTTCGGCAGGGGGACCGTGGGGTGCTCTGCAGAGGGGCTTCAGAGCCTGGAGAGCAGAATGTTGCATTTGTGCAGGCCTGTGGCTCTGTCTGCTTTTTTTTCCTTCTTTGATGAGTTTATGAAACAGAAACATATGAGGAGTAATATAACCAATAAGCAGGTGCGGCCGCCTGGAGTCAGCAGTTATTGACATTGTCATTTCTGCACCATGGCTGTACTTCCTCGAATGTTTCTCCCTTGGATGGTCTTTGTGTCCAGGGTTGTCCTGTCCACCTCATGGGTGGCGCATGTTTTTATCCCACTTGGGGACATCCACACGCCTGCGGGAGGTCCGGGGCCACATGCTGGTCCACACAATGGGGTTGTGTCGGCCCTTCCTCTGTCACGCACGGAAGCACGTGGGCTTGCAAGCGGGTGAGTGGGAGGGATCTGAGGGCAGGGTCTGGCTCCTGTCCTCTTTGTGCGTGGCACAGGCAAGGTTCTGGCCATGTGCTTCGGTCACTTTGCCATTGTTCCTGGTTGCACAGCACTTCCGGGCCTCTCTGTTGGCCTGGCCAGCAGGAAAGGCCTGAGTTTGGGGCCCAGCCCTGCCCCTTAGCTCTTGATTGGGAACAGGTGAGCAAAGGCCCATGTGGAATGCACACACTGCTCCCTGCGCCCGGCTCTGCAGCTATGCAGGAGCCCCGCTCAGCCAGGCAGAGGTTTTCACTTTGGTCAGGAATTGAAGGTTGTCTCTTAGGTAGGTGTTGCTCAGTAATAGATCTTAGCTAGAAGATGCAAGGACTGTCCTGCTCTGTGACACAAGGAATTAAGATAATGGAGACAGAAATGGTTTCCAGCACCTTCTCACATTCTAGGACCTCTGGGCTTCCTGTTTTCTTGTGGGTGGCATGGTTGGGCTTCACATGTGGGCCCTTTAGTCTCAGCTAACATTTGTGGAGGTCTTCACAGGTGGTGCAGCTCCTGCGGGCTCAGTGATCCAATACGGTCTTTTCTCTCAGAGGTGCAGCATACACAAACAAGGGGAAGTAATAACGTTCCTGCTGTGCGCCAGGGGCTCCACTACGGGACCTGCCCTAGTCTTCACAGCAGAGGCAGAGTGGACGGTGGCCTCTGGCCTTTGATAAGCTGGGGCTTAGAGGGGTTAAATGAGGCTGGAACCTGATTCTGTGGCCTCTGGGCCTTTGATTTCCCATCTGACCTGCTGCTGCTGTATGTTATATGTTCACAAATCCAAGTGGCTAGGACCCAGCAGTGATATAAGGGCAGAGTGGGCAGCTCCTCAGGGTGGGGTGGGCTGTTGCAGGGCTGGGCCTTTCTGCTGTCAGGAGTGAGGGATACAGCTGGGAGGGGACTCTTTAGGTGAAGGAAAAAGTCCAAGAAAAGCCATGGAAGACTGGGATTTTGAGGGGGCAGGGGAAGCAGGAGGCATGGTTGGATTAGGATAGGGGGTGCATGAACACCTTGCCCCCATCTTCAAGGACTGCTGAAGTAGAGAAAGGCAGTGTGGCACGCATGTTCTGGCAGAGGCAGCTGTTGAATGCACACCAACTACTGCCTGGGCTCTCGGGTGTGCTGGACAGGTGTCTGCAGCCGCGGCCGTCATTGTCGTGGCTCTGTCTTGCTCTTTCCCTTCCCACATGGCCCCTGCCTCTCTCCTGACAGGGCATGCGGGGTGTTCATTTGGGGGCAGGGCATATGAACATTCTCTAGAGAACACAGTGACATCTCGCTTCTGAGTGCCGAGGAGGTGATAATACTAACCTCTAGGCTGTGTCAGGGGTCAGTTTTGGGGGCAGGGCATATGAACATTCTCTAGAGAACACAGTGACATCTCGCTTCTGAGTGCCAGGGGGTGATAATACTAACCTCTAGGCTGTGTCAGGGGTCAGCGGCCATAAAGTGCTTCGGGCAGTGCTTCGCACAGTGCCTGGTGGTGTTTTTGTTAAGGTAGACCGTCTTTTCCAAGGCAGGGATGTTGGTGCTCATGGAGGTGTCCTCCCCAACTCTGTTACACAGTAGGCGCTTAATGCTTACCCAGTAAGGAAGTGAGTGCTGTTCTCTGACCATCTGACAAACTGCAGCTTAGTTTCCCTGTAGGTCGTGGCACTGTTGATCTGAAGTTCTGCAACAAGTCCTTTCTCTTCCTCGTAAACATCTGATTTTGGAGGGCTGGTGGCTCCTGGCAGTTTGTTATGGGTGAAGATTCCTTAAAGAGTCCATGTGTCTAAGGGGTCCAGGTGGCCAACAAAGGAGCCGGAAGCCATGGCGGGAACTGTTCTTGCCCCATAGGAAGTGACGCCATGTCCTCGGGGCCGCCCCCCACCCCACATACCCCGTGATGCCCTTCTTAATCAGGCATGTTAGTCAACCCTGAGAAGCCCAAAGACAAGCAGAAAAATGTATTTACATAACATGTTTCTTTTATTCTTAGAAATAGTCGGGTGTGTGGAGGGCAGCAGGGGGCGTGTGTATGATGTTCAGAGAGTCAGCACTTCCATTCCTGAAGACAAAGCTTGGACACTTTGCATATAGACTGGCGGTCAGGTTCCTGGGCAGTTCTCAGTGGACAGCATTTGAAGCCATATGATTGTAACCTGGGATTTTGAAATAAGATCATAAGCTGCCGTTTCACCCCTTCCCTTGCTCAGACGTAGGCCACCTTTTTGTACATAGCATGATCAGAACTGAAGATTTCACAGCAAGCACCTGCTTTGCAAAGTGTGTTAAATATGCTTAATGTTAAATTATACTTTCTCTTACTGACTATTAAAATACTAATTTTAATGTAATCAATTTCAAGTTAAAAATGAAATAACTTGGCTTAAGATCTCAGGCTGTATCTATATATCCAGTTTGCCCGGACCAGACTGTCTTCAAAGGGTTACATGAGGGTTGTGTTCTCCTGTGTCTAAAGAGCTTTCTTCTCCTCTTAGTCTCGTCCAGCTGGACCCCAAAGGTGGAGGGCTGTGAGCTTGGGGGTACCTGGGATACTGGGGCAGAGGCCGGTGGGCAAGTGTGTTTGTAAGTCGTAGCACATTGCCATGGGGTCTGCCATTGAGGGAGCAGAGAGTGAGGGGGCAGCCCCGGGGGCAAGAGGAAAAGGCTGTGAGGGAATGAGCCAGGGCCGGGGCCCAGTCCTGGGAGGGAAGAGGCCCTCAGTGGTTCTGAATTCTGAGTTTGCATTTCATGCCAGGGCTTTTACAGAGAATTTATGCTTCCTTGCTCTTCATCAAGCACATTTTGAAGTGGCTGGCTGTTTCTGACAGCGACAGAGAGAAAGAGAAAATGCTGCAGACCGGGGGGTCCCCACGTGGCTGTTGGTTGTTGAACTCAAACTGCCTCTGTTCGCAAACTTGTTTTGAGAGTCACAGCACATTCTGTCTCCCAGCTTTGAGCTGCTTTACGGATTTGCAGGATCGGATGATGGCTTTACTCTCGGAAATTGGCAATTTCCATATGGGGAGGGGGTGGGGGTTTTCCCAAGGGCTGTGGAGGCCACACACACAACGGCAAGGGGCCCAGGGTTGGCACCTTGCCCTGGTGAGCCTCGGCCAGTATGCAGCACAGCCTGACTGTGGGGATGGGGGACCTGGCCCAGACTCTTTCCCCTTGGCCCCCCATGTGCTCATGGGTCAGTTGAAGACTGAGTCATCAGGGACACCTTAGCTCACCTCCTGGGCTCCGCCAGCCCAGAATTCAAGGCCCAATTCAGCCCTGTTTCCTATCTCTCCATAGTTGTGTCAGAGGAGGAGCCCAAGAGTTAATTAAAAGGCTTAAAAAAATCCACAAGCCTTGAAGGAGAGTAGAAAGGAGCTTTTTCCATGGATCAGAGGAATCCCATTAATGCTAAGGAGCTGTGGCTGAAACCCACCCACAGCTGGCTTCAGAGGGTCTAATTTCCACCTGGAGATGGGGATGTGGGCAGGAAGAGGATGCTCCCCAGAGAAGCATGCATAGGCCCCAGTTGTGGGTTTAAGTGAGCTTTAAGAACACCTCTAACAAAAGGAAACCTGCCTCCTGCCCATGGGTGGGGGAGGGGAGGCATGCTCACTCGGGGAAGAGATGTTTATCAGACTGTAGCTCGATCAGTGTGTTGGTGAAGGAGCCAGCCAGCGTCTGTTGCTCACGACACATTCCAGGTGGAAAGCAGAATGCCCCGTGGAGGTTAGGAGGTGTGTGTTTTGTTTGCTTTAAAGGGCTTCTGAAGGTGTGTTTCCCTTTAAAGGGCTTTAAAGGACCTGCTGCCGCTTGCCTGCCCCCCCTCCCCCCAGCTGGCGGGTTGCATAACCGGATCCTCTAGCAGGCAGACTGTCTCTTCACCAGAAACTCTGCACTGCTTTTCCCTCGATGGCCACTGGGGCTGTTAACCACAGTGGCAAACAGGATGCCTTGTAGAAGCCAGACGACAGTTCGTCTTGAGGGCTCTCTCCTGGTGCATTCCTTCCTTAGAGTGTCATCTTTCTCCCCATCCATCAAGCGTGTCACTCTTAATGCCTCCAGACTTGGTTCTGCCAAGTGTCCATGTTTCCCTGCCTACCTGGGGGCAGGACTGCCTGGAGCGGAAGCACTTGCAGGGGCTTCTGGAAAGCTCTGGGAGCACATCCTGACTCTGCGCAGCCATCTAACACTGCTGAGGGGTGGTATTGATAAAATGTCATTAAGTGTCAGCTTGTGGTATGTCGAGTGACACTGTTAAAGGCTGACTGCTGTGTTGCAGATTTCCGATTTTGGGCTGGCCAAGTGTAACGGACTATCCCATTCACATGACCTCAGCATGGACGGCCTGTTTGGCACAATCGCCTACCTCCCTCCAGAGCGCATCCGGGAGAAGAGCCGGCTCTTTGACACCAAGCACGATGTGTACAGGTGTGTGGCATGCCGTCCCCCAGTTCCTGTGCCTGCAGGGCTGGGGGCTCGGACCCCTTCATTCTTCATGCCCTGAATAGCACCTTTTGGAAAGGCTCCTCAATGCCCATCAAATATGGGGTTCAGTCCAAATGAAAGGGGTGCATGCTTGTTGACTTTGGGGTTTTTAGCCAGTGGGTACAGGTTCCCCCAGGGATACAAGAGACATTTCTTTCCTGTGGGTGTTGCTGGCTGAGGATGGAGAAGTTGCTGTTGGTGCCAGTTGGAGCCAGTTACGTAACCAGACTGGCAGCTCCTGCACTGTGAATGCTCTGGCGTGCTTATGAAATGTGGGTTTTATGGCTTGCCTGTTGGAAGAACCTGCTGCTTTAAGTGGACCATGGTCTATATACATGTGGATTTGGGCTCTCCAACATTCAGTCTCCTCTGTGTTTTGTGAAGTAAGCAACTTACATTTCCTAATGTCATTTACCTTTGATGGAGGAACGTCCACCAGAGAGGCTATTCAGTGGATTTCTGTACCTAGAGAACAGTCCCCGAGTCACTTGGTCCCTTCCTTTTTCACATTGTGCAGGTCTTAGTCACACAGACTTCTTGGAGAAGAAAAGAGGGAAGGGAGTGTCACCAGGCACCGAAGCCTCTCATTGTGGCTGTTGCCCTGCGCATTGTGACTCCCACCCCAGCTTCCACTGCCTGCAGACCTGGCGGACGGGTTTGACAATCGCCATTGTGCCTGTGCTTAGCTTTGCCTTTGAGTGCTGAGTCTCTGGAGAATGGCACTTCAGGGACTAGTCACAGCTTGTTGAATTTGGGGAGAGTAAGACACTCTTTATTTTAGAGTCGAGAGTTCCAACTTTTGAACTTGCAGATTTCTGTTGATTTTCAATGGTGAATTCTTGTGCCTATGTCAATTTAGTGCTCAGGGGTGGCTCAAGTTTTGGACTCCTGTTTTTTGTTTTGTTCTGTTTTTTTTAAAACATTTATCAGATTGGGCTTTTTTTTGGTGTATCCAGAGTAATTTATATATATGCCCAAACAGCTGAAACATCAGGATTGCCTCCTGATGTTTTCTGTGCACTTTCTTTAACAACCCTCTGATGAAATCTAAGTGAGCCTCCGTCAGGAATGTTTTCATCAGAACCTGAATCTGTGTCTTCAAGGAATGCAATCATAGGAGAAGAGAGAGGGACATGAATTGCCTACCATGTATTCAGCCATTTATTTAGCAAATGCCTGAGTACCTGCTCTGTGCCCAGTGCTTGCAAGAAAGGGTGGTAAACCAGCAGACAGGGCCATTGTCCCTGAGAGCTTCAGGTCCCGTGATAGCACAGCACCCCTTGAGGGATCCCTCGTGTGGCTTGAAGACTTGCAGGTCAAGTGGCAGCGTTATGTCTGTTGTTGAATATCTCAGCTATCACGTGACAGGTCTCACCACAAGTGTTTTCTCTTTTTAACAACTCACGGGAAATATCTCAATGTTATCTCTCTCTCTCTTTTGAAGGCTTCAGAGGGGTTTTCTTTAAACTTGTCACTATGCATTGGAGCTTTTGACTTTATCTGGGGTTCCAGCTCACAGATACTAATGTCCTGGTTTCTCTTCCAGCTTTGCCATTGTTATCTGGGGTGTGCTTACACAGAAGAAACCATTTGCAGGTAAGTGGACCTGTCTTTGAGGTGTAGTGTATTTGTCTTTCCTAGAATAATGGGGGATTCTGGGAATAATGTACTTTCTCTGTCCTTAAACAGTACCTGTGATCACGCTGCCATGTGTGCTATGCTGCTCTGGGCCTTGAAGCCAGAACAGCAGGGGTGGGGGGTGCTCTGTCCTGCCCAGCAAGTCTGCAGCCACCTCATTGCTGGCTTTTCTATGTGCTGACAAAGCACTCTTGTGGTGTGTGTAATTTACATACAGGGAAATGCACAGATCTGAAGGGGTACAATCCGTGGATTTTTTAGGTGCTAGCTGATTTTTATTTTTTGGTGGTAAAATACATACAACATAAAATTTATCATTTTAGCCATTTAAGCTGTATAGTTCAGTGACATTAAGGACATTCGTGATGTGGTACCAGCATCACCACTCTCTACTTACAGACCAATCTCGTGACCCCAAAACGCAACCCCATGTCCTCCCCACTCCTCTCTCCTCCAGCCCCTGGCAACCACTAATCTGCTTTCTGTCTCTATGGATTTGCCTGTTCCAGGTATTTCCAGCAAATTCTTAATCTTTTTTAATTAAAAAAAATTGTGGTAAAATACACCTAACGTAAATGTTATCAAGTTCACCATTTCAGATCGTACAGTTGAGTAGCGTTAAACATGTTCACACGTTGTGCTGCCAGCTTGCAGAACCCTCCAGTGGATTTCAACGCATCCACCAGGGTGCCCTGCCCAGCTTGAGAGCTGCCCAGTACCTCCTTCCCCCATCCAGGAAGCTTCTGACTTATATTCTCAAGGGTTTAATGCTTCTGCTTGTTCATTGTAAAAATCAAGTACTTCTTAGCTTCATTGGAGAAAGATTCCCTTCTTCTGTAGGCATTTCTGGGCTACTCATGATACTTTGTGATGTGACCAAAAATGTCTGAAAGTACAGGTGAGCGTGTGACTCCAGGTCTGGGCATCCCTTGCTAGTTGGGGCACAGGCAAGGAGCCAGGGCAAGGAGAACTCTGAGAATCGCAAGATTTAGAGTATATTGGGAGCTTTTTCAAATCCTCATGGAAAGACTGGAACACATCCTTACCCTTCTCTTCTAGAGAGGTCGTACCTGTACGGTCTCCCACCTCCCACCCTTTCTTCCCTAACTGCGTATGCGTATCCTCCCCCATGGAGGGCCACGGTCTGAACGCTTTCCAGTGTGGCAGCGTGCCAGTTGGACATAACATTGTCTGATGGTGGTGACGCCCTAAGCCAGGTGCATGGTGTAAATATCAAGGACTGAAGTCCCATGTTTTATGGCCTGGTAGACTGGGGGGGAGTCGAGGTGCAGGAGTACAAGGTGTCTCAGGAGCTTTTCTGGTCTGTGTTCAGCAGCAGAAAATATTCCAGGTGTTTGCGTTAGGTCACTCCCTTTTTATGTGGAGGACCTGTTGGTTTTGGAAGTCTGACTTATCATGGAAATAACCTCTGGATAGTTACAATAGGTCTTGCACAAGATTTAATGGGAAAGTGGAACAAAACATGAGTGTCGATTCCTGGCGGCTGCCGGTGGCTCTGGGCCAATTTTCCATACCTGCCTCTCCAAGGAGTTGCTTTCACCTGGGTGCATGTGGAACCATGGGGGTGAGGTGGGTGTTGGGAACACGCAGCTTTGAGTCCTGCTTGACATGGACAGTGTGTGGTTTTAGGCTGAGCAGAAAAAAGAACCTGGCCCACTGAGAGTCACCTTGGGCCCTTCCCAATCAGTGGAGAAGTTGTGGACAAAATAATAATAGTAGCCCTGTGCACGCTTATGAAGGAGACTGGGAGGTAGGACAGGTGAGCCCCAGGTTGTGAGTAGAGGGGAAGGGGCCCCCTTATACACCCCAGCCCTGCCACATCCACAAGGAGAGCTGGCGGCCTGGCTGGCGGGGCAGTGGCTGAGCTTTGGGATGGGAACAGGGAGAGTGGGGTCCACCTGGGTGCTGGACAGCGTGGCTCCATTTGGTGGGCTCAGGCCACTTTGGAGCCCATCTCGTCAGATATTGTTCTCTTTTTAACCCGGTTTTCCTTTGATGGATGTCCAGAAAGATATACTGTGTGACATAAAGCACTGATTCCATTTGGTAATCATAACCCTGCAAGATGGGTAGTTTTTAAAACTGGGAAAATAGAGAGCAGCGTGCCCTGTAAGGATAAGAGTTAAAGAAAGCTTTACAAAGGGAAGTAAAGCAGTGTCTGGGGATGGAGTGGGTCCCTCAGTGGCTTCCCACATGCCTCGTTTCCTCCCGAAGCTGAAAAGTCTGTCTCCCCACCCCGCTGAGCCTCCCTGACCTGTGTGCTTTTCCTTTGCAGATGAGAAGAACATCCTGCACATTATGGTCAAAGTGGTGAAGGGCCACCGCCCAGAGCTGCCACCTGTGTGCAGACCGCGGCCACGTGCCTGCAGCCACCTGCTGCACCTCATGCAGAGGTGCTGGCACGAGGACCCGCGGGCACGGCCCACATTCCAAGGTGAGCACCCGCAGAGGGGTTGCTGCTGCACCGTCCTTCTGGTGTCATAGGAGGTGGAGTTGGTGACTGGGACAGGGTTGGGGCCCAGGCAGTGGGAAGCAATATGTGGAAAGACAGGTGGGACAAGATGGCCTGCACAAGCAGATGGGCCACGTACCTGCCTGTGGCCCCCAACACACAGGCAGATGGGGCAGCTGGAACCGAGTGGTCTGCTGCAGCTGTCCACCCCCTGCTCCCAGCCAGGGCTGGATTTGCTGTGCAGGGAGCCTAGAGGAACTGGAAATTTGGTGTCTCAAGTCAGATAGTGATGCATCTTTTAGGAGACTGATGTGGCTGGTGGCTGGGACCTTGCTCTGCTCTTCTCTTGGGGTCTTTACCTCATGCAATAGATGTGTCTTTTGGATGGGAAAGTAACCCTGATGAAATTAAAAGTAATCATGGCATTTAAAACATACAGGGGGAGCAGTGTGAATGGAGTTGGGGGGCTCACCCACCAGGTGCTGACAGCTCTGCTCTGGGGCATCTGGCAGGTGGAGTTCCCCTGAGGAAGGCTTCTGCTTTGAGTCTGGTGAAACCTGCCATGGTTGTCGATGGGAGGCCCAGGTGGGGCTTCTCTGCTGAGCTTAGCCTGGGACACGCTGCCTGAGAAGTTACGAGGCTGATGGTGCCCAGCTCATCCTCTGCTACGAAGAGGCTTTGGGGTCCCCAAAGTCAATGTTTGAGTAGAGTGTGTGTGGGATGATGTGTATCTGAGTGACATGCCCACTTTTGTTTCCTCCCCAAAAGAAATTACTTCTGAAACTGAGGACCTGTGCGAAAAACCTGACGACGAGGTGAGAGAAACAGCTCAAGACCTGGATGTGACACCTCCCCCAGAGCCCAAGAGCGAGGTAACGGGGATCTTCTCACAGGCATCTCTGTTTCCTCAGCTTCAGCGGTAGGATTTTCCAAACTGACTCCTTTCTGTAAGTTCTCTTGCCAGCCTGGATGCTCGCTTTCCCTTCCGAGCCCTGCCCTGTGCCCAGCTCCACTGGAAGTTAGGTCCCTCGGCAGCTCCAGACTCATCTGTCTGGCTGTGTCCCCGTCCCCACCTCCCATCTGTGATCACGCATGAACATAGAGGGCTCACACTGGATATTAAATAGCCAATTGTCAGACACCCTTTGAACCATGGGGATCCGAAGGCCCCAGCCCCTGCTGGGCCCAGATAGGGAGAGAGATCTGGTGGTGTGGGTGTCTTTGCACCCTGCTTGGTGACCTGGTCACTTTTTAACTCTTCATAGTGGTTTGTTCTTTTGACTGTCACACAGGTTACTTAAGATGTAATGAGAAGTCCAGGCGCTAGGGCTCGCCGAATACCCTTTCAGGCAATAAGAGGGTAGCAGACTTGTAAAGTGTGGCTTGATAAACCATCTTTATGATGCGTTATCTGGTATTGGGCAATTTCTCCCAGGCCATCAGTGTAATGTCAGGAGATAAGTAAATGTTTATGGGGCACCCACAGTGAACATGAAGGGACATGGTGTGCATGTGACAGTCAGGAGTAAAGGTGCCGGGGGAGGCAGCCGTGAAGAGACAGGCCTGGCGTAGATCAGAAGAAAGGCAACCTGCAAGTGGGCGTGGCCCAGGGCACTAGGCCCCAAGGTCAGAACACTCAGCAGAGTCTTCCCACCTCGAAGCCTGCTAAGCAAGACCTGTCACAAGGACCCCATTAGTGTATTTTGGGTTGGATCACACCGTGTCGCCATAGCCAGGCCCACCCCTCGTCCTTGTCCACACACAGCCCCATGTAAGCGAGGCTTACATGACCCCGAAGGTGAGGTCGCAGTTGTTGACAAAGTCAGAGAGGGGGACCCGGGCCCAATCCCACCTCCTCCCTTGTTCCTTCCTACTGCTGACCTGCTGTGGGGGACGAAGTCCAGCCACTTGGGTTTCATGTTCTTGCAGCTTGTTCATGGTCCGCCTTCTGTCTGGGTGATGCTGCCTGCGGTGCCGCTGAGCAGGTGGCATCCAGAGCAGCACCTGCTGGGTTTTCCATGTCTGTGAAGTCAGTCTTTCCTCACGGTGTCTGTGCTGGACAGACCCAGCAGAATGACTGCAGCCCTGAGTCTCTTGGCTCCCTGGTGTGCTGCATGCATTTGGTCACAAATTGTTACATTGTCTGTGCTGCTTATCAGTGATGCTCACCTTCTTTCCTTCTTTGTCCCCTGCTTCCGCGTGGTTCACCAGTTCTTCTGTGTCTGTGCGTGGATGGGCCACACTGGGTGCGGTGGAGTCTCCACTCAGCTCCTGCTTCTCCCTCTTGGCAGGTGGTGCCTGTGTCCACGCGCCTCAAGCGTGCCTCTGCCCCAGCCTTTGAGAACGACTACAGCCTTTCTGAGTTGCTGTCGCAGCTGGACTCTGGCATTTCTCAAACCATCGAGGGCCCCGAAGAACTCAGCCGCAGCTCCTCCGAATCCAGGCTCCCATCATCTAGCAGCGGCAAGAGGCTCTCGGGAGTGTCTTCTGTCGATTCTGCCTTCTCTTCCAGAGGGTCCCTGTCGTTGTCTTTTGAGCGGGAGCCTTCCACAGGCGGTAAGTAAAGGACACCCTTGTGTCCTGAGAACTGATGGGCTTGGTGGGCAGAGTGTGTCAGAATTAGGGCACATCAAGCGTCCAGTTTCTTGACCTGTCAGTGATTCTTCTTTGTTTTCTCCCCCTTAACCAGTTGATTTTGGGTGTTGGTGATTTAGTTGGTTTACTGAATGCAGATCTAGAGCTGCACGCTAGCTGTTAGGTGGTCACTCAGCATGTTACCTGTCAGTGATTCTTCTTTGTTTTCTCCCCCTTAACCAGTTGATTTTGGGTGTTGGTGATGTAGTTGGTTTACTGAATGCAGATCTAGAGCTGCACGCTAGCTGTTAGGTGGTCACTCAGCATGTGTATCAGTCCATTTCTATTGCTGTAACAAAATACCTGGAACTGGGTGATTTGTAAGAAAACAAAATTTGTTGCTTACTGGTTCTGAGGCTGGGAAGTCCAAAGTCCAGGAAACACATCTAGTGAGGGTCTTCTTTGGTGGTGGCTTTACAGCAATGCAGAGTCTTACATGGCAGAAAATGGCAGAGCAAAGAGAGACTCTGATGCGCTCTCCTTTTGAAGCCCTCAGGACCACACCTGACCACCATTATCAATCTGTTTTCTACAGCCTGGTCCTACAATCCAATCACCTCTTCAAAGCCCCACCTTTCAGTTACCATGATAAGATTTCGCATCTTCCACTGTCACAGTGGGGACCAAGCCTCCAACACATTAAACTTGGGGGAAACAGAATTCAATCCATAGTAGTGTATGAGGGGAGAGGCCATGCCACGCATCTGCAGTGGAGTCTTGCCTGTGCCAACACAGGGCCAGAGGCTAACCCCCACCTGCAGATTGAAAAGCCTGAGTCCCGTCCAGTGAGCCCAGTGACGAATCAAACCCCACACCCTGGAGTTCACTCTGTCGTGTGGGTGCGGGCCTATACCCCATTTCTCGGCAGTGCCCGGAAGCACCCCCACACTCCTCGGTCACTGTTGGCCCGTGCCTTATGATGTTTTGGTTTGGTTTTCCTTGAAGGTTGTAACACCCTGGCCATGCTTGTGAATTGCCTGTTGGGGTGGGGCCCTTCCCAGTCAGCCAATCTTATCTTTTTATGTTAATTTTGATGGGTTTTCTTTTCAGAAGATGCTTTTTTTTTTTCTGTCCCTGCCCCACCAACTTGGGGATAAGATGTGGTCCTGTCCTGTCTGTGCTGTAGCTCCGTTAGGAAATGTGGATGTTTACACTCACAGCCACAGTGCAGGGAGGCCGAGATCTCCAGAGGGAGGGGCATTTGTTTTTCCTGGTGGATTTGGGACATCCTCTTAAAGGAGAGGACTTTTCCTGGATCATACAGGCCTCCTGGGACTTTTAGAGTAGAATATTAGGGGCAAAAGAGGCCATTTTGGTTTATGGAAATGCCCCACAACCGCAGAGGGTGGAGAAAACCCGGTTTGGTGGGAGATAAGCAGTAAGTAATGGAAGAAGAGAGTTAGGGCTAAGCCAAAGGCTACAGAAAAATGTATCACCATCTCCCATGGAGAAATATAGAACATTCTTTTCGGGTCTTATACTCTCAAATAACATCTTGTGTTCATGCTTGAGATAGCATTACTGGCTGGCCCAACTCAGAATGCCAGTGTTAAAACACCAAGTCCGAGTGGTGGATTCCATTTTCCTAACAGCACGCCACACTCCTACCTTCTGTTTGAGTCCCCATGAGACTATTTCATGTGGGGCAGGAGAGTCTTAATTCATGCGAATCAGAACTCCAAACAATGCAGTAGGATTTTTGTGTTAAATAGAACGTTTTCATCCTGAATCCCGGGCTGACAGTCCTTCTGAAATGAGAGGTTGGTCCTTTGAGGATTATCAAAGAAGACATCCCTTGTGGTATCCCTAGGACAGGAGGTGCAATTTTGAGGTCAGGCTGGGAGCTGGACCGTCCCCTTCTGGCTCCAGGCAACAGCTTTGCTGGTGGGTGGGCCTTGGAGGGGTGTCCATGGGGTGGGAGCTGTCAAAGCTTTCAGGTGGAGAATGGCTCCTGCCTGGTCTTTTTAGTCTGTGCCTTTTTCCATTTCTTTTTTAAATGAAGGCATGTTAGCCGTTGTTACCATTTCTAAGCATCAAGCAGGGCTCTGAGTTTTACATCCTTTAATCAGAACTCTGCAGGACAGCTAGAGTGATTTTCATTTCACAAATTGACCTAAGAGCACCTTGGAGACATTAATAGACCTGCCCAAGGCCTCCCCACTAAATCTAAAATGAAATAAAGTAGCATGGACAGCACCTGTCCCTGTTGAGTGCCCTGAGGCATGGGTCACATGGGGACAGCAGCCAGGCCTTCAGAGGTGAGCAGCTGCTCACCATTGCCTCTCCCCACAGATCTGGGCACCACAGATGTCCAGAAGAAGAAGCTCGTGGACGCCATTGTGTGTGGGGACACCAGCAGGCTGATGAAGATCCTGCAGCCGCAGGATGTGGACCTGGTGCTAGACGGCGGCGCCAGCCTGCTGCATCTGGCCGCGGAGGCTGGGCGGGAGGAGTGCGTCAAGTGGCTGCTGCTCAATAATGCCAACCCCAACCTGACCGACAGGAGGGGTGCCACCCCGCTCCATGTGGCTGTGGGGAGGCGGCTGCGGGGTGTCGTAGAGCTCCTGCTGGCCCGGAAGATCAGCGTCAATGCCAAGGATGAGGACCAGTGGACGGCCCTCCACTTTGCAGCCCAGAATGGGGATGAGTCCAGCACACGGCTGCTGCTGGAGAAGAACGCCTCTGTCAACGAGGTGGACTTCGAGGGCCGGACGCCCATGCATGTGGCCTGCCAGCACGGGCAGGAGAACATCGTGCGCATCCTGCTGCGCCGAGGCGTCGATGTGGGCCTGCAGGGCAAGGATGCCTGGGTGCCGCTGCACTATGCTGCCTGGCAGGGTCACCTGCCCATCGTCAAGCTGCTGGCCAAGCAACCAGGGGTCAGTGTGAATGCCCAGACACTGGATGGGAGGACGCCCCTGCACCTGGCAGCCCAGCGAGGGCACTACCGTGTGGCCCGCATCCTCATCGACCTGTGCTCTGATGTCAACGTCCGCAGCCAGCTAGCACAGACACCCCTGCATGTTGCCGCAGAGACAGGCCACACGAGCACCACTAGGCTGCTCCTGCATCGGGGTGCTGGCAGGGAGGCAGTGACTGCAGAGGGTTGCACCGCCCTGCACCTGGCTGCCCGGAATGGACACCTCGCCACCGTCAAGCTGCTCATTGAGGAGAAAGCCAGTGTGCTGGCGCGGGGGCCCCTGAACCAGACGGCCCTGCACCTGGCTGCCGCCCATGGGCACTCAGAGGTGGTGGAGGAGCTGGTCAGCGCTGATGTCATCAACCTGTCCGACGAGCAGGGGCTTACCGCACTACACCTGGCTGCCCAGGGCAGGCACGCACAGACGGTGGAGAAACTGCTCAAGCACGGGGCTCACATCAACCTGCAGAGCCTCAAGTTCCAGGGCAGCCAAGGCGCCACCACCTCCACACTCCTCCGGCGAAGCAAGACCTAGCCTGCTGCCTGTGGAGACCAGGGTCTGTGTGGGGCTAATGTCCTGTTGTGCTCCTTGTGGGGATGGAATGGTGCTGCGCTGGGCCATGCCACATACCCCATAGGTGGCTTGTCAAAACACTGTCCGAGCGGAGGCTGGTGGACAAGGTGACGAGGGTGCCATCAGGAGCTGGATGACTACTGATGTCCGTGTTGCTCCCCATGTGAAGTTGGTGCAAATGCACTTGGCGGTCAACCCATCCACTGATCACAGCGCCTGGTGCTGGAAGGGATGATGGATGTGTCAGAATCATTTCGTTGTGCTCCTCATAGGCCGCTGATGTTGGTCCTGTAGTGACAAAGCCTGGGCAAGGACGAGTCCATGCCATCCTGCAGCGAGCCACCTCTGACTGCTCGAAGCAGGTGCAGGAGGAACTCTGATCTGCATCCACAGCGGTGGGCAGGGAAGCCTGTCCCAGAAAGTTTCAGTGTGATTCTTGTTTGTAGAATATCTTTAATAGATGAACGCCATGTCAGCATTGCTTGAAACATGTTTAAAATGTTTATAACATTGGGTAGTCTAGCCTGTGAGGAATGACTCTAAAGAAACAGGGTTGGCTTTAGAAACGAGTGATGATGTTTTATGTGGTACGAGGTGAACAGCAGCAGCTGGTGGTGTTGGGACACACATGTGGCCAGCTGTTTCATATCCCAGTGTGTCCTCTGGTCAGTCCTCGGGGGTGGCCACACATGCCACAACCACGCTTGCTGCTGCTGTTCATTTCTTGTTGCGTAAAACGTTTTTGGGACTCGAGAGCCACTTACATAAAAATCAATAAAAGCTTGAAATCACTTCAGTTTTGGAATAACATCAGTAGTACCGACTTAGACGAGCCACTCCCCTGGTTTCTGCCCAGCTCTCTGTGTTGGTAAGGTGGCTGTGGTACTGGGGGTGTCGTTCTGGGGTCTCAGGGATTTTCTGACCGCTTTGCCAGTGGCTCCCCTGTGCATTGTCGCCTGGGCAGTTTGGGCCAACTCCCGGGTGGCTCTAGGAAATCTGGCACTCGAGGATTTGAGATGTGATCGTCTAGCCTTGTTACTTCATGGTTACATGTGTCCCATGTGGTGCCTTATAGATACTGTTTTTAGAATAAGTTTGTTGCAGAATGTGACCCTGTGTGTAAACATGTACCTGGCCTGGCGCAGGACACAGAGATTGATATTAATGTACTGTGTATGTTAATATGAATCTGTGGACAGGGATACTTCTTTTCTATGACAGGAAATATCCAGACTGTTTAGAACTGGCTATGTTTTAATATGCCTCGTGCTTTTACTGTGTTAACGCTACTGTTATGTAGAATACGTGGAATACCAGACAAAATTTACAGTTCTGTTTGATGTCAATAAAGCAAGTACTTGTCGACTTTTTTGAAGTCAGTGAGACTACTTTTTCTTATAAATGAGCTTGAATAATCTGATTTCTGAAAACCAGAGGTTTGAGGCAGTGATGTGTGTGGTTTGGAGGTGCCTCTCTGGGAGAGTGTCCATGCACTGAATGAACCTGTGACGTGGGGGACACAGGAAGCAGAGGATGGGCTCAATGTCCCTCTTCCTCAGCCTGGGCCCTTCCTTCCCATGTGTGGTCCAGCAGGAGATAAGGTCGTCTTGATGAAAGAAGCTCTCAGCACCAGAGTTCCTATTTCTTTTTAAGTGTTTATGATTCTTATGTTCATCTGCTAGCTTTGTATTTTGAAATAATTTCATATAACAGAAAAGTTCCAAGCATAGCACGTAGAACCTGGGCGTAGCCTTCATCCGGGTTCCCCATTTGCTTACGTTTTATCTTACCTGCTGCTTATTCTTTTCTTTCTCATCCACCTGCCAGAGAGCAGGTTGCAGACAGTGTGCCCCGTTACCCCGAAATACTTCAGTGTATTTCCTAAAAACAAGGACTTTCTCCTACATGGCCTAGTCTACCCTAATTCTTTTCTTTCTCATCCACCTGCCAGAGAGCAGGTTGCAGACAGTGTGCCCCGTTACCCCAAAATACTTCAGTGTATTTCCTAAAAACAAGGACTTTCTCCTACATGGCCTAGTCTACCCTTTAAAATCAGAAAACTGACATTGGTACAATATCACCATCTAACCCACAAATCCTTTTCAGATTTTGCTGATTGTTTCAAAAATGTCCTTTATAGGAAAAACAAAAAAAACAAACCAAAGCAAAAAACCCCGACAACAATAAGCAACTCTTCCCTTTCTGATCCAGGATCCCATTGTATTTAGTCATCGTCACATTTCCAGTTTTCTTCAGTCTTCAGTTCCTTAATCTTGTCTTTCATGACCTTGACTTCTTGGAGGAAGTATGCGTGTCCTCAGTTTAGGATTGTATCATTTTCCTCGTGATTTGATTTAGGTTATGCATTTTTGGCAGAATTGCCATAGGCATGATGTGGTGTATAAAGTAGAGCTTTGCCCTCTCCCCTTTAAATTTTTTATTGAAAACAATACACAGTCATCGGTTCCTATTTAATCCATGGGTTATACTCATTATTATTTGTTTTGATGCTCATGGTGTCCAGGATCTGGCCACTCTGAGGCTCCTGTGCTCCTTTGACACCTCCCACCTTTCCTTGAGCACTTCCTTGCTTTCTGACCCATGAGGCCTCCAGGTTCTTTCCCCCACCATGGCCTCACCAAGGAAACTGGTTTCTTTTAGCAGAGGATGGCACTTAGAAACCAAGCTCTGGGCTCTGGGGGTGTGTTCATTGTTTCTGGGTGTTGCTGCTTCTATGTCCCCTGCGCAGGCACCTCTAGGAAGTGTGT